AGAAGGGAGCTGGTACAGGGTACCCCTTACTGAAGACAGAGGGAACAAAGGTCCAAAAGATAGGGTAAATTTGCTCCTTGTTAGACACCCCCCCCACCCCCCCACCCCCGACACACACACACACACTTTTCCTTAGCACTGCCTGAGTCCCTTGGCCAGTTCCAGCGGCCCAGTTTCCTCTGCCTTCTGGCACCAAGCTCCACGTTGAAGCCAGGCAGCTACTAGAGCAGCAGAAACGCTGTTTCTAAAGGGCCTTGTGTTTTAGTGCCAGGAAGGTTTCCAAGGTGGGGATCACCAACCCTTTGACAGACCTCAGGCTTGTGTGGAAGCTCCCAGTCCACTCCGGCTGCGGCGGCAGGGCGCCCTCTAGCGGCAGACCTGGCGCTTCCAGGGAGAGACGGAAGTGCTAGTTTGATTTGTGGGGCTGGCACTCAGGACCCTGTCCTAAGCCTGCAGCCACCTGGAGGAGGGTGGTGCCTGATTTTGGTCCTGGGCAATTTCAAGGATGACAGCCTTCAAACCCAAACCCAAGAAGTGATGACACAGACTCTGCCTATCAGTGACTTGACTTCTTAACTAAACATAAGGCCACAGCAGGAAGGCAAGCCATCAATGAAGGCTATCATGAGCCCTACAGAACAGAAGGGGTGGTGGTGGTGGTGGTGGTGGTGGTGTGTGTGCGCACACGCACCTTTGCATCACAGCTCTTGCCAAGGATGCCCCATTAAAAGGGTCCCACCTAAGGCAAAACCAAGCAGACACAAACCAGAAACAAATCACCTTCTTAGCCAAAGAGCACCTCTACAAATCTGCCCTAAGTCTTAAGAGAGGCTGAAGAAATCTCAAATGGAAATATCCAGAATGCCCCATCCCTTCCACACGTCAGTTCTGAATTGCTGGCTGAGGCCACACACACCAACCAGCACCACAGATATTCAAAGAGGTGCATGGAGGTGCGTGGTACAGGAGGCTCAGGCAATGTCACAGAGCTCTCAGAGGGGTCTCCAGAACACAAAGCAGCCCTGGAACACAAAACATGAAGCGTTTCTACAGCAGTGGCAGGAACATATGACTTGGACCATTTATAAGCAATAAAAGAATTATTCATGTATCCTCTTTGGGCTGCAAATTCTTCGTGTACAAAAGAAAAAAATATATCTTTACTCATGAAACTGGATCAAGGATCAAAGGAGATAAATTTTTTGAATTGTTGTTTTGCCTTAAAATGTAAAGGATTTGGATTCTACTTTATAATAAATCTGTTTTTAATATAGAGAGGTTTCCTCAAAATCTTTGTATGAAATTAACTCCAGAAAGACAGCGGCACCATGTTTGCCCTGAGGTTTAGGGGCTCTGCTCATCACTCTGTACCCCGAATGAGGAGGCCCAGGCCACTCACTGTGCACACAAGTTGGGCTGGGTTGCTTCCTCCACTTAACGCTAAAACTGGTAGTGGGTCTCCCCTGGGATGAATCCACAAGTGGCTTATCAAGAGGTGACATCCTTCCTCCCTCTCCCCTCTTCCCGCCCACCAGGGCTCCCCACAGATGCCAGCTAGAGACTCTTTAGTGTATGTAGATCATGTCGGAGATTGCTCCGGGCATATGAGTCATGACCTGCATTCGCAGCCACCAATAGTAATCCATGGGGTGGTAGCGGGTGTAGGGGGTGGTGGCGGTCAGGGCGTGGGTGACAGCATTGATGACAGGGGATGTGTCTGTGGAGCCACTGTTGCAGTAGGTCTCCATGGTGGCGATCTTCTCATCAAAGTACTTCCTGCCATAGTCCTTGCGCACCACCTCAGGTAGCTCGTCCCACATCTTGTCGGCGATGGCCTGGATGCGCTCGGGGGTGTAGAGGCTGGTGGCAGCGATGAAGTTGCCAGGTTCCACCACACTGACCTTCACGCCCAGAGAGTGCATCTCGTAGCGCAGGCAGTCAGAGAAAGCCTCCACCCCAAACTTGGTGATGCAGTAGGGGGAGCGGGCTGGGTTGGCCATGCGGCCCAGCATGCTGCTGATGTTGACAACGCGGCCTACGGAGGAAGAGAGCAAGGCCCTGCTCAGGGGGCACTGCCTGGCGGAGCACGGGGCCCGGGGCCTCGCATGCTTCTGGAACCCTGGCTAGAGCCTGGCCTCCTGGCCCCTGGCTCCTTTTGCTTCCTGGCGAACTGGGACCCGGCCTTCTGAACCACCCAGGGTCAGCAAGCCTTCTCATTTGTAGTCAAGACCGGCTCAAGCCCACCCGTCAGCACCAGCGTCCCCAGTATTTCCAGGGTAAGCAGTTGTGCCAGGCAGGACAGGGGAGGAGGAATGAGTGAGAAGCGGGCCTGCACACCAGGAGGACACAGTGTAATGCACAGCACACAACTAAGCTGCGCCTCGCCTCCCACATTCTCCCATTGCATTTTCACCCCAAACTGGAATCATTTGGCAGTGCCCTGTCTGCAAGCGGGCAGCGGCAGAGGCAGGGGAAGGGCAGAGTTCTGAACTTGACTTCAGGGCTAGGACATGTGGGCAGGGTCTGGGGCACTGGGAGAGAGTGGTGACTGCAGAGGCTCTCCCACAGGCTCAGCCTGGGGGTGCTAAGAGCTGACCACAGCTTCTCCCAGCCCTGGGCGTGGTGGGTGGAGGTGGAGCCCATCCAGACAGCCAGGCAGACCAGAGACCTGTTCGCCCTGGCTGTGCACCCAGGAAGTGAAGGCACAGCCAGATCCTGGGCACTGTGGGCACCTTTCAGAAACCTCTTAAGTTGCTGAAGGGTTGGTTTTTTTTTCTAAAATCCTACAGTGCTCTCTGGGCTCATCCTGTCATTTCTGGGACCTTGGTATAGATTATATGGATCTTCCCCCTTTTTTCCATAATTGTTTGCTATTCTGGGGAGAAAAATGTGAGTTGGTGACTACTTAGGTGGTTTCCTTATATTTGGCTACCTAACATGGTTTGGGTCTTTTGTCTGTTTTCTAATCTTGATTATTCTTATTTTTTTAACTTACTGCCACAATTGTCTCATTTTTTAACTATGCATAATAACCCAAAGAATGGATATACCAAAATGTACTTAACTACACCCCTACTGATACCATGATGTGTACACACAGCTCTGTGCACAAGGGTGGTTATTTCTCTAGATTAGGTTCCCAAAGTGGGATTACCACTATAATCGGTTAGCCTTTGCTGCATAGATGGCTGACCTCTCACCTGCTTTACTTTCTGAAAACCACACCTCCGTTTCTGCCCACTGGGCCACTGCACCTCCACTCACCAGCACCCACAGGCCCCACGTGGCCCCAGGGAGCCAGTGCTCAGCCTTCCTGGGCCGTGGACATGGATGTAGGCTCTGCTGAGACCCATTTCCATTCTGAGCAAAAATGAAAAGGTGGAGAAGGTCAAGGGAGCAGGAGTAAGGCCCCTTTCCAACTCACCTTTGGCCCTTCGGATGAGGGGGAGAAAGGATTTTGTCATCCGCACTGTGCCCCAGAGGTTCACTTCCGCCACCTCCTTGTAGGTCTCCATGCTGGTGAACTCCACCTCCCCAAATGTCGAGATGCCTGCGTTGTTAACCAGGCCCCACATGCCTGGACAGGATAGGACAGAACAGAAGTCACCACGTGGCTCTATCACTCATCAGCCTGCAGCCCATTCCCCTCCCCACTGTCATCGCTTTCCCCCCTGACTTGCCAGCTTCTTACCCAAGGAGTTACCAAGAATAACAGGCGATAGAGAGGCCTAAAGTGCTGGCTGTGACCTTCCCTTATGTCTAGATTGTCCAATCCTTAGCTTTATTCTGCCTTAATCGGGTGTCTGGGCCCATCATGACCCAGCCCATTCAGTGCCCCCAGCCTGGAGTCCTACCTCACCTCACTCACTTCCACTCTATTCCAGCCAGTCTCATCACCACCCTCTGCACCCCAGCACCTGTGTATTCATCCCTGCTTCTGAGCCTTTACTTGTATTCTCCTTCTTACCAGAAGCCAAGAGAACCTCAGGAGTCTTTCAGGCCAAGCACTCTCTGGAGGACGAGGGAGGGGACCCAGTGTCCAAAGTCACACAGCAAGTTAGAGGTTCAACCAAGCCTGGTCTTGGGTTGGGCCCCCTCCCCCCATCCTGCTCCACCCTGAGACCACCTAACAAGACTCCATGCTTTGATCACTCTCTTCTCTGAACCACGCATTGTTGCTGGTTATCATACGATAAGCCCCCGTGACCCTGTTCATCAATATCCCATGTGTATACACCTGGTCTTTGCAGGTAGAGAACACCCCTCAGCCTTGTGTGGTCCCACGGGGCTGAGTACAGGGTGGGAACAAATGTACACTCTCTGAGTATACTCGGGTTGACTGTTTCTAGCAACATCAGCAAAGGGACAGCTGGCTTTTATAGACACAGAATGGTGGTGCCGGAAGGCTCCTTGGAGTTCACTTAGTCTGATAACTAATCTCACAACTAGGGAACCAAGGTCCTGAGGGGAAAGGAGTGGCTTCATGTGCCCAGTAAGTCAGGGGCAGGGCTAAACTGGGGGAAGTGACAATGAAGAGGCAGCTATGTTTTGCAGGGCCCTTTTTGAGTTCTGTTTTTGGGGGTGCAAGGACAGGATAGGCTGGAGGCTCAGAACAGAGTGGGGCCCTGCCTCTTCATTGTGGAAACCCTCAGGGTTTAGTCTCCAGTGTTTTTGAAAGCCCCATGTTCCTTCCCAAATCACAGCCTCAGAGCAGGGCTGCCCTCCTAGGGGGTGTCCCCTGGCTGTGGTAACTCTGGCCCTGCTTGCTTTCTGAGTTAATCATGGAGTTTGTATAAATGACACAGTAATTGGTCTCTAGCTGCTTTCCTTGCGTGTTACCCAAATTAAACTTTTGTCAACTGACCTCTGGTGCCTTCTCCTTCAATTACAGAAAATTAAGGACATTTATTAGGGAAAGGAAATTGCTGGTTAACAAAGTGCTCGCGAAGCTGTCACTCCCATCCTCACCACAGCAGAGCTGAAGCCTCAGCTCTCAGGTCTCACGGGTGACCTTGCATTGATGCAGCCACTACAACCCCCCACAGCTGCCACCTCCTCCCATTCCCCACTGCTGCAGACTTCCCACAGGCATCCCCCCTCTCCTCTTCCCAGAAGGCCTCTGACCACTCATCAAGGCTGACACTTCACCCTCCACCTTCCAGATGGTAAGCCATCAATCCTCTTTCCTTTATGCAACTGCAGCTCTCCTGTTGCCCCGTCTCCTTCCCTTCAATGTTATACACATGAGGTGCTTAAAAAAGGTTTGTCAGGTGAATACAAATACCATACTTCCATATCCTAAAGTATCTTCTCTTAACCATGCTACCCACCCATGCTACCGTCTGCTCCCCTTCCCTCTGCAGCCAGGCTCCTGAGAACACAAGCTAGGCTTTCCAGTCTCCCATTTCCCTGTCACTCTGGGTCCCAGCCCTAGCAAGGCTCCAGGGTATCCAGAGTGCCACATGCTAAGGGCGCCATCTTCACTCTCCTCAACTTGCCCACAGAATGAGCACTGCTCATGGCTCGTGACACTCACTCCTCTCTTGGCATTATTAATACCCAAGCATCTCCTCCACCCTCCCTGCCACCTTTTTTCTACCTGCCCCACTAGATACACGTGTCCTCCAATGTCCACTTTCTTTCAAATTACACTCAGTGCTTAGGCAGCTTCATTTTCCTTATGTTCATGGAATTTTCCACGTGTTTTGTGTTTGATTCATATGGGACAGTAGCACACAACTTAAAATACATAATGTGTTTTTTTTTTAAAAAAAACAACAATGTTTTTTTCCATCTACAAATTAATCACATCTGACACTGACATCCACAGAAGTTTAATTGAACTTGGCCTATGTGCCCCTAGATGATAGCTTGGCGGATTTGGTAAGTAGTATCAATTTGTAGACCCAGGAGCTCTCTGGAGTCCTCAACCAACATCCTGAGTAAACTCACGACATCACTACTGGTCTGGGTGACAGCTATGTTCCTGCAAGCAACCCCATCACCACCTCTGTGTCGAGGGTTTCCATGTACCCCTTGCAGTCATGGCTCTCTCCTAACCTGTCTCCTCCTGATGGTCACTTTTACTTGAATGTCCCACAGGTCCCCAAGTCACCCTAACCACACCTTCAAGTTCCCCGGGGCCCAACCCTGCCCCTCCTCCTTGTTAATAGTTTCACTTTCATTTTTGATTCCCCAGTTCCTTCACTTCTCTCCCTTCTGATGAGTTCTGTTAATATTACTGATAAAGATCAAAAGGACAACTGCCAGGCCCTGAACTAAACATTTTGCATCTATTAATTCACCTGATCCTCACAACCAACCTATAAAGTAGATATTAAATTGTCCCATATCTGGATGAGGCTCAGAGAGGTTAAGTGCCTTGCTCAATGTCACTCAGCTAACAAGCAGACTGGACAGAATTTGGACCCATGTCTGTATGAGGAAAAAGCCCTCATGCCAACCCTGTGCTGTTGTTGGCTTTCTTTGCGATATTACTAGAATCGGTGTTTCCTGTTTCCACAGAATTAGTTTGGGTCCTTCCCTCCTGTATTACTGGGGAAGCTCTCCTGGTCTCAGGCTGTCTCCTCCACCTCCATCCTGATCCAACTTCCTTAGTCAGAGTCTCCTCAGTCAGTCACTTTCTGCCCAATAGTTCCCTTCCTTTGAGGGGTATGTGAAGCCACCTTTTCCAGGCTTCTCACTGACTCCCATTCAGGTACTCTGCCTTCTCGAAGCCTGGACAGCCTGCCACTGCTCTAACATGGCAGCCCCTCCTGCCGCTGCTATTTCTGGCCTCTGCTCAACTCCCCACCCCTCATCCTGAGAGCAGCATGTTGTTGAAATACTACCCACGCTCCTTCAGAGTGAGCACTTGCTGGTTGTAAAAGCACTTTTCCCACTTCGCAGATGGGCACGCTGAGGCCCACATAGATGAAGGTACAATGCGAAGGTCACATTTCTAGTAAGAGTTGAATGAAGCTCAGAGTGAATCCAGTCTTCTCACTCCCAGACTGAGGGTGTCCCAGGTAGGTAGTAGGGTCTTCCCTGCTCACGGCGTAAGGTCCCCAGTGCTATAATGGTTCCTCACAGGTCCTGCCATGAAGCCACCGACTTCCACTTGGCCGTGTCCAACTGCAAACTCCATCTTCTGGTGCTCAGTACACTACCAGCTATACAGCAAGTACTCAGTTAATGTTTACTGACTGTGAGGTAAGTGGTTTCCAAATCAGACCATGCCCACAGTCTATCAGTCGGCCCACTCACTCGGCCTTTCCCTGGGGTAGAAGTGGGGAGTGCTGGTCACAGGCTCCAGATGTTCAGTCCCTCAGAGTCTTACTGGGGAGCAAAAGGGCTCAGACAATCTTCTTCATCTCACCCCCTGCGGCTGGCTCCCCTGGCTTTGGCAGCAACTGCTCCATAGAGCCAAGGTAAAGGACACCAAGCTTGCAATCAAAACGTACCCTCCACGTGTCTCCTGGGAGCGTCCTGCCTGGGAAGTGAGTGAGAAGCGGCCATCCACTTAGAAATGGTCTGAAAGCTCTGGGAGGACGCCAGCATTGCCAGAGAAGGGGAGAATTCGAGCAGTTTTACCAGGAAAAAAACAGCCCATGGAGGGGGGCAGGACCGCAGGGGGGGAAGGGAGAGGGGAGGAGTGGGGGAGACCTGCACAACCACATATCTAACAGATTTATTTTCTTTTTCAGACCTAAAAAAATCTTCAGATAGTTTTCCAAACAATGAAGTATTGGTTAAGTAAGGTCATGGTGAATGGTTTATCAACCCTCACCAGAGTACATCATGAGAAAAAAGCAGCAGGGAAATCAGGTTAATGCATCAGGGGTGGTGCTGGGCTGGGGTTTGAGCACCATCCAAGGGCGGGGGCGTTGAGCACCTTTCCCTAGTGGTTCAGGGTTCACTCTGCCTTGCCAGTTAGGCTAACCAGTCAGACCAGTCCAGGGAACGGAATGGTTCTGCCCTGGTGTCAGGGTACAAGAACCAAGGTCCTGAGCAGCCCCAGCCTTGTTGCAGCCCCATTCTGTGCTCACAGCTACAACGATGATTCCTTTCCACAGGCATTTTAAATCACCACAAACCCACAGGCTATAATGAAGTGGCTTTATGGTGCTGACTGCAGCTGTTTTCCTGCCTAGTAGTTTATGAAGGCAACATCCCAGCTGCCAGGGCAGGCCCCGGGGGAGGAGGGAGATTTAGCAGGAAGGGGGTGAAGCAGGCTGTATACCTCCTGAGCTGGTAATCATCCCAGTGGGACCCATCCTGACTTTTCTTAATGGAACGAGAGCCCTGGTCTGCCTGTTAATTACTAAACAAATGTTCAGGAATTCACAGGCCTCTCCTCAGAGAGCAGAGGGACCTGGGCATGGCCTGCTGTGGGGGAGGAGGTGGCAGTGGGCTGACAAGGTGACTCATCGGTGACAGGCTGGCAGTCAGAGCAACAGCTTCTCTGATAGCTGCATAGCACAGGAGCTTCTGAGATGGCTGCTGGGGATGACAGCATCTCTACCTGACAAATGCTCAGGAGAGTGCCCAGCACAGGCCCCGGCCATCCTCCCCACTTCCCTCCTCCCTACCAGCCACTTCAGTTGCTGCTCAGGAGAGCTGACTCCACCCCATTCTATGCGAAAGCAGAGCCGAAGGAGGTACACCCTTTCTGCCTGGGCTGGCGGGAAGCTCAAAGGTATATGTCAGAGATTAGCGAGTAGACTGGACTGGCTTCCCTGGGCCAGGCAGCACCATCACCACTGTTGCTGCTTGAATGGCATCCCCTCCCCTCTCTTGTACAATGGGCCCCCTCCTACCAAGGTCCTCTGGGGGCTGAACTGTGAGGACACTTGAGTGCTTATGTCCTGGGGACTTTCTGTAGCATGTGACCCTGTTGGCTACTGTCCCCCAAACTTTCTGTCCCTTTAGCTTCTGGGACAGCGTGCCTAACTTCTCTGACAGTTGTCTGTCCCCATTCTCTGGCCTCTAATTGCTCATGTTTCCCAGGAGTCCCTTCTTGCCATCTCCCCAAAGCCTACTCTCACGGCCAACCCTGGACACCTGATCTCCAGTCCAGAACTCCCCCAGGGCACCCATGGGCACTTCAGCATCTCCCCATCCCTCAGCCTGCTCCTCCAGAGAGGGGCACCAGGTGTCCAGGATAGAGACCTCTTGCCTCATTTCCATATGCATCAGTCACCAAATCCAACCAGGTACATGGTCTCAATACTCCTTGAATCTGATCCTCCTCTCCCTGGCCTAGTTCAGGGCTCCCATACTTGTGCCCCCCCCCTTTAAATCCACTCCACACTGCCACCATGGCCCCCAGAGCAAGACTTTACAAGTCTGACCAGGTCATTTCACTCAGGAAATGCCCTTCAGTGGCTCCCATTGCCCTTAAAAGAGTGGTCACCTCACTTGCCTGGCACCCCAGGCCCTGAACAAGCTCGCTCCCAACCTCATTTGCTGCTACCACCTCCACCAGACTTGACCCCTGACTTGTCATCCCGGCACACCTTGTGTGCTTCCCACCATTATGCACACTCTCCTCTCCTCCTGGAGTGCCCTTCCCCGCATTCTGTCACAATCTGCCCTAACTGACACATTCCCTACTTCACCCCAAGACTAGGCTATGGCCCTCTGACCTGTGCCGCTCCCTGAGAGGGGATGCGGAAATCACGGGGCCAACCCCCCAATAAACTGTGAGGTCCTTGGGGACAGGGACTGTATCTTGGCCATCTTTGTATCCCCAACACTTGGCCCAGCACCTGGCCCAGAGTGGACATTCAATAGGCATTGGCTGAACTGACCTGAATCAGAGCACATCCATTCATCATTCCTGTAGATTCCAAAATTACCCCTGGCTTTATTTCACATTGCCTTATTACATGGGTGTGTTTAATTTAACCCACTTCCTCCTACTATGCTGGAGGAAGAGTTTGAACAATAATGGAAGGTGGCATTTACGAAGGATACCCTTGGAACGACTCACACACTACCCAGTTGCCCCAAGGTGCTCCCTACCTTTGTCGGGGTCCTCCAGGCTCGAGCGGACGACCTCCACCGCTTTCTCCACCTCCTCACCTTTGCAGACATTGAGCTGGATGGTTCTCAGTCGATTACTCTTCAAGCTGTCCAGTTCTTTGACCCCGTCATTCCCTTTGTCCTGGGGAGGAGAGAAGAGCTTCTTCGCCTGCCTCCTTCCCATCCTGCCTCCAGGATGAAGACCGGGGCCAAGGCAGGGAGCTGGCCCCAAGCCCCTGCCTAAGCCTGGGGCTACTAACAGTCACAGATGGTGGTCTCTGGAGGCCCCCCCTAGACCTGTTCCACCAACAGGAGGTTCTACTCAACCCCTGAGCACTTATGACGGAGCAAGCACCAAATTAAGTACCATAGACAGAACCATGAGCCCCCAAGGCCTCACTGGCAGGATCCTTTCTCTAAGCAGAGGTTGCAAACTCAATACCTAGCAGGGCCAGGCATGTGGGTATCACATGGTGAGAGGGGAGGACACTCAGGAGTGAAGCACATGCCTGGCCTCTCAGCCCCTGCCAGCTGTGGCCCACATGTGTATGTAAGCCCAGGGTTGCCAGGTGCTTAAACTTTTAAGCTTGTAATTGAGATTTCTGTGTGAAATCTCCTAATTTTTTAAGTGCTGGCAATTTAGTTAAATTAAAAAAAAAAAAGTGTGGGCCAAAGCACATGCATAGGTCACATGTGACCAGCAGGCTGCAGTTTGTCACCTCTGTTCTAAGCCAAGGGCCTGTCACCCCCAAATGTGTAAGAGGCCAGGGTCAGGCTCTACTTCTAGTGTGGTCACTAACCAGGCTCTCTGTACTCAGGCGCGTCTCTTAACAGGTATGCAGTTTTTCCAGCTACTGTTGGACATAAGGACATTCCCACCTGTCCTGACCTGCTCAGGTTAATGGAAAGAGGAAATCATTTTTAAAAAACATGTTCAATGATAAATGAATTCAAGTGCTATTACACATGAGAAAAGTATCACTCAGTCAGCAACATTTTGGGGGCCTCTATCATGTTTCAGCACTGATTTGAAGACACAAAAATGAATAATGGATCTGTTCTCAAAGATCCACATTTTAAGGAAGGACGCAGCTGAGTAAGCAAACACTCTGGGGAGTATTTGCTGTAGCAAGCTTTGTGGGAGGTGGGGGGGAGGGGAGGGTGCACAGAAGGTGGGGTGGGCCAGGAAGACTTTCCAAAAGCAGTGACAGCTGAGGACCAGCACCCAAAGGGCCTCTGGGGATGGGGCACTTCAGGGAGAGGTAAGAGGGTGTGGCCATAAGCCACTGCAGGCAGAGCAGAGGCCTGGGGAAGTTGTGGGACATGAGGCTGGGGTGGTGGGCAGGGGTCTGTGTGGGAGCAGTAGTGAGCTGCTGGAGGGTTTGAATAATGTGGATGTCATGTATTGTTCATGGTGCCTCAGACTGCTAAGTACTTGACACGCATTATCTCATTAGTCCTCACATCATGAGGCAGGTTGTATTATCATATTTCATCTATTCTATGACACATTTTTTTCACAATAGGGATGAGCTGCAATCAATGTGAAAATTAAACACTGTCAGTCATAATTTAATTGGCAGTGACTTTCTCAGTGGTGCGTGGAACATGATGCATCTTACAAGAGGACAGGAGAAGCTGCCAGAGGATGAAGTGATAGAGAAATGCCTACTCCTAGCCCAGGGCTTGCCCAGAGCACCTACAACTGGTATTGAAGCAAGGGCTGCAGAAGGAAGCACAGGATGGCGGGCATATGTCAGCGGTGGAAAGTTCTCTACGGGTTAGGCTGAGTCTTGCCTAAGTGGTTTGAACCAGAAGGACCCGAACCCTAGGACTGGAGGACCAGCATCATGTAATGTCAGAGGGACACAGGAGAGAATGGTGAAGGGACCATGTCAAATGGGGCCAAAGGTGCTGGAGATAATCACACTGGAGAGAAGATTTGGGGAGAATGTGATGGTGAAGGAGCCGACTTGTCTTATGCAGCCCAGAAAACAGAACTAGGGCCAAGAAGCCAGTTTCAGCTCAATGAGGAGTGACTTTCACAGTTCAGAGATGGCGTGGACTGCCTGAGAGGTGTTCAGAAAATGAGGGTGGAGGTGAAGGTTGGGACCGGATGGGGAAAATGGTGCAGAGAAAACCCAGGCACCAGACAGGTCCTCTAATATCTCTTCCACCCCTAAACTGTCATCCTCTCCAAGGAGCCCCACCTCCATGACCCTGCTGAAGAAGCAACATGCATGGCCCAATGAGTCTCTGCCCAGCCTGGCACCAAGAATGGCATCTATAACCAGAGTCACCTCTGTACGGAGCAGCCAGGTGTGAGGCTCGATTGGTTCATGGGTTGGCTCTGAAATCCCCTGGATGTGCCAAACTTCCCAAGTGACACAGCAGTTGTTCCATCTACAGGGGAGCAGACAAGCATGGGGCTTCTTCTGCCATTCCCACAGAGGGTTCCCCAAGAAAAGAACTCTCAGAGACGGCACCTTCAAGTTCAAGGGCAGGACAGGCTGGTGCCACAGACACCTCTCTTTTCCACAGACAGCACACAAGCACCAGGAAAATGCCTGTCTTGTTTTAATGCAATCCATATTGCGGCTTCTCAAATGCCCCTCGAAGCTGAGCCCAAGTAATCTAAGTCTCCGAGGGGATGTTGACATCTAATTCCAACAGGATAGATTCCAGTTGAGATGCAGGAGAGGTACCTGAGTTTCCCTTCCTCTTCCCGGACTTTGTTAACCCTCCTGCCATCTTTCAGCAACTCCTGGACCTCATGCCTCTAGCCAGCATTGAGCCAATGGCCCTGCAGTCCCCGGGGAAAGCTGCTCACCCAGGTCAGGGTGTCCATATGAACTTAGTTTGGCAGCTGGCAGCTAAGACCCTTCTCTCAGAGGAAACTGGCCACAGCTTCAGGCTCAACATTCAGGCTCCCAGGACAGAAACCCCACTCCCCTACCTTTGCCTGACAGACATGTCCAGGAGTCCTCACTCACCTCTGAGCAGCCTCCACCCACTGCTCCTGACAGCCAACTCATCAGGGAAAGAGACTGTCAGTTTGCCCCCAGCTGTTCAAAGGAAACCTTTCCAGCCCTCCTCAGCCCATGGGCTGCAGACTATGGCGGTCCATCCCCTTTCAGATCCACTTGTCCTCAAGCCAAGGCCTCATGGCCTGGGCCACACCACCTCCTTGGCTCCAGGGTTTCTGTCTTTGTCCACATCTGTCTTGCTGCTCAGGGACAAGCTTTCGGTCCTACTACTTTAGTGCCTGTGTAACTGGTGTATTGATAAACCCACTTCTTTCACTATCCCTTTAAGCTTCATCTGTAAGCTATTTTTTCCACTCCTGGATGAAATTTCAGGCAAGTCTTATAGCTTTTCTACTCATTCTCAGATAATAGAGAGCTTCTTTGTTTTGGCATAAAGGATCCGGTTCAGTCAATCAATGAAATAACTCGTGCCCAGCCTGGTTTGAATACCCAAACTCTGAAACTTGTATCCAGTGTAGAGCCTGCCCTGACCCAGGGCTGATGGAGTGTGGGAAGCCGGTTTGGGATACCAGGTATCAGGGGTAAATGTTGTCTTTCTCACTAGTTTTTAGTTCTTCCTCCTCTCCTATTCCTTAATCTCTGACCCTCCCAGAGTTGGATCCAGGGGCTGGAAGTGAGGAGGCAAGACTGTAGTCTTCTGAGGATGGTGCCACTGTTGTCTGCTGTGGGTGCCCTGGGATGGCAGATGCATAACGGCTGTGGCTTTCCCTCCCTGGGACACTTTTGTGGCTTCCGCAAAGCTCCCTTCACTGGAAACCTCCCATGCCATTCCCTCCTCCTGCTGGGCATCTTCTCCCTCAGCCCAGGCTTCTGGCCAGGTCACATGGACCCTCCAAGGAGTTTCACTGGGCAGGTGCCCTTAAGGAGACTACAGGAGCTCTCCCCATTATCCACATCAGGTTCAGGCAAAGGTGTCCTGCCTGGGTAGATGGACAGCTCTTCCCCTATGCAGCGCTCTATGCTCTGCTTCCAGACAAGCTACGCTGGCCTCATTCTTGGGCCTTTAGACTTCTTTTGGTAAACATTAATACTTTATTCTGTGGCCTCAGACTCCAGGGTGCAAATGGCAAGCTCTCCAAGGAGTTCTCTTGAAACCCACTTCATTTTACCTGAGACCAGAGGGGAAATATCACGGCACACTAACAACTCTTTCTGGCCGCTAAGCCTCCTCCATCTCAATTTATTACAATAGTGAGGCAGGTGATGGGCTAATCCTCACAGAAAGGTTCTACAGTCTCTCAGCATTTGTTGTTAGGTGGTCTAGCACCTCAAGGCAGGATGTGAGGACACTCAACACGTGTTACACGTGAGCATCTTGTCACATGTATTAGAAACTGACGAGACAGGCAAGGTGAGCGCATCATAGTAGTTACAGGAGGAACAGCAGGAGGAGCCAACAGAGGAGATGGAGAGAAATCAAGAGATTTCAAGGGTGTTCACGAAGTTAAGAAACAACCAGCAAGAGTGGTTTGTTTGGCTAGGTCTGCCGACGGGTTGAATATAACATGGTCTGAGCAGTGGCCCATGGATCTGGTAAAATAGGGGCTGTTGGCACCCTTGATAAAAGCCATGTCAGACGCATTCAGGGCCCCTCCTGGTCCAGTCCTGCCTTCCTTACCCAGCTCGTCTTCTTCCACGAGGGCACTGGGCTTCTGGCAGCTACATCAGACTACTGGATATGCCACCTCCACCCATCACAGAACACTCCTGTTCATCCTTCCAGATGCTGACAAAGGCTCGCAATAGGTTCCTTCTCTGATACAAAATCTCATCCCTCCCCAACCCCCGCATTCTCACCCACACTTCTCCCCTCTCACCCACTGGGCTGCAGCCACAGAGGCCTCCTGCTATTTCTCTAACACACCGGGCTTTGGCTTGGCTGTCACCTCTTCCCCAGATATCTGCAAAACTTGCTCCTTCACCTCCTTCCAATGTTACCTTTTCAGTGAGGTATTCCTTCTCTCTTTAAAACTGAACACCCCCTCTACCACATGCACCCTCCATCTTCTCTTCCTGCTTTATTTTTTTCCATAGCTTTCACTATCCCACTGAGAAGCAATTTATTTAATTATCTTACCTTGCTTATCTCCCACCCCACTCCCATGTAAGCTCCACAAGGGCAATAACTTTTCACTCAGTTGTTATAAGCTCTATCTTTATAGAATTTCATCACTTCATAGCAGGTGCTCAATAAATATTTGTTGAATAGATGAACAACTAAACAGAGTGGTAGGGGCAAAAACCCGATCCAGGTGGGTTGGAAAGAAAATGGGTAGTACAAATAACCTTCTAGGGGTGCTTTTCTACAAAGATAAGCAAAGAAATGAAGTAATAGTACACATAGCATGTGGGGTTATACTGGTGCCAAAATGATCCAGTACAGGGGCTGACCGAGTGGCTCAGTTGGTTAAGAGCTCACTCAAGAGTGTGAGCTCTGAGCAACAGTGGTTCAATTCCCGGCCCTAGCTGAGCTGCTGTTGAGCTGCTGCTGAGCTGCCAACAGGAGGCAGGATGGCTCAGCAACTTGTCTGTTCCCCTTCCCCCAATTCCCCAGCACTGTTCCCATCCTCCAATTCCCCAATAAAAAAAAAAAAAAAAGATCCAATAGAGAGTGAAGAGTTAATGATGTAAGAGTGTGGAAACATCTGAGCAGAGACAGCAAGTTGTCCCAAATACCCATTCTTTCCTTCCTCCACAGTAGTAAAACCCCTGACTTTACACAGGGTACATATTGTCTCAGAATACCAACTACATTTTCCAACTTCCCTAGCAGCCAGGTAAGGCCATGCCATGTGACTAAGTTCTGGCCAATAGAATAAGAGCATAGGTGGCATATGTGCAACTTCTGGGTCATGCCTTTAAAGAACAGGGGTGTGCACTCACAATTAGAGAAATACAAATTAAAACTACACTGAGATACATTTTTCATCTATCAGATTGACAAAAATCAAAAGCTTGATGCACAACTCTGTTGATGAAATTGTGTGAAAACAGGTATGTCCATACATTACTTGTGGGAATGTCAAATTACACAGACCCTGTGATAGGAAATGTGGGAATATATATATATATATATATATATATATATATTCTTTTGTTGTTGTTGTTCTTTTTTAAGCTGAGTCATCCTGCCACCTGTTGGCAGCTCAGCAGCAGCTCAGCTCGGGCCGGGAATCAAACTGGCAACCCTGTTGCTCAGAGCTCGCACTCTTGAGCAAGCTCTTAACCAACTGAGCCACTCAGCCAACCCTAGGATATATAATTTTTAATCCTTTAACCTAAGAGGAATCTCAAGTCTAGATAAAATCCTCAACAATACAAAAATACATATCACAAGGTTATTCATTGTGGCATTATTTGTAATCGCAAAATATTGAAAAACAATCTAAAGTGCTGATATATAAGAGACTGATTGAGTAAACTATGGTCCACCCACACAGTGGAGTATTATGATGCTGTTAAAAAATAGTGCAGATCTCTATGAACTCATATGGAGTGTTTTCCAAGATCTATTGTTAAGGTTTTTTTTTAATTATTAAAGGGTATATGCAGTATACAAACATTTATATAGGAGGGGTAAATTAAAGAATGGAGTAGACGGGCCGGCCAAGTGGCATGTTGGTTAAGAGCTGGCTTGGGACGCCAGCTCTGAGCAGCAGGGCCCGGGTTCAGATCCCACATGGGGCCAGTGACACTGCCCTCCACAGCTAAGATGGTGAACAACAGCTCAACCTGGAGCTGGGCTGCCATGAGTCACCAGCAACGGCGTAGGCTGCAGGCCCTGCTGCAGTGGGCTGCCATAAGCTACCATGTGTGGCTGGCAGCCAGCGTGAGCTGCCAAGAGCCGCTGTGAGCGGCTGTCCAGAGGCCGGCGACTGATCTGCCTCACCAGGGAAGAGCACAATGATAATACCAAATGGGCCAGGGAAGAGCACAATGATAATAACAACATGGGCCAGTGAAGCAATGTCCTCCACAACTAGACTGAAGAACAAAAGGACAGCAACTTGTCTGTTCCCCTTCCCCAGATTCCCTAGCGCTGTTCCACTCCCCCAACTCCCCAATAAAATCTTTAGAAAAAAAAAAAAAAGAATGGAGTAGAAAAAGTGGGAGAGTAACACAACTTTGAGTGTACCTTTTAAAATAATTTTGACTTTAGAGCCTTGTTAATGTTTCACATATTCTCAAATCAAATTAAATCAGTAAGAATAAGATTAAAGGGAACAAAATACAAACAAATGAATCAAATTGCATTTCAAATAACTAATATAATGATAGAGACAAAAAATAATCCAAGTTAACTTTTAAATACACCACTTTGTATACCGTCGGTCAATAGATAAAAAACACTTTAAAAATCTTAAAGCTCTACTGTGGTGACCACAGTACCCCTCCTTTCAGGACAACCTGCTATGGGAGCAGTTGACAGAAGGTCTCCAGCAGCCACACTTTCAGATCCACTGCAGATGAATGTCATGGCCACAGCCATACTTGCCTGGGCTGCTCTTAGCTGATGGCCGAGCACAGCATGTACAATGGGCCATTCCTGCCCAAGGAAGGTCTCCTCTAACCTTGACTTGGAGACTCCCCATCATCCCAGCAAAGACTCTCAGACGCTCAGTCAAAAGCTCTGCCTATCTAATCCTCCTTCCTTCCAACTTCTTTTCAAAGACTGCATTGCAATCTAAAAGATTTCTTTGTCTTTACCTGCCCCATTCCCCTGTAGCTATTATAAACACTTTCCAAATCAATCTCTTGCACAGCTAACCCTATTTTGGCATCTGCTTCTTGCGGATCCAAGCTGAGACAACTACTTAGTACATAATGGTATGAATGTAGCAATTCTGAAGCTATTGCGTGTATACTATAGGATTAACCAAATGAGTAAATATATTAATATTGTTGGGAATCAGGGTTCTAAGTGCAGGAGAAGAAAGAAACCAATACAGAATGAGGGAAGCAAGAAAGAATGCTGGTGTGTTGAACTGGAATAGTAGGTTAGTATAACCTCATGAATTAAGTGTGTGTGTATGATATTTATAGGAAATGTAGATAGGAGATACATAGATACAGGGTGTACATATGTATATATGTGTTTGTGTCTAAATAATCACACACATACATGCATGTCCACTGAGAGGGACAAAGAGCAGCAATGCTCCCTTAGCAATAAGCATGCTTAATGCCCAGCTGTTGGTTTCTAAATGCCATGAAAAGGAACCAGGTAAAAACATGTCTACATGAAGAAATGTATGTGAATGTTCATAGCAGCATTCTTCATAATGGCCCCAAATCCCAACATGTTTATCCAAATATCCATTAAAAAGTGAATGACATTTTTAAATGTAGTATATATCCATACAACAGAATACTATCCGGCAATAAAAAGGAATGAACTATTGTTACATTCTACAACAGGGATGAATCTCAAAAACATTATGCCAAGTGAAAGAAGCCTGGCACAAAAGCCTGTGTATTGTATGATTCCATTCATATGAATAGTCCAGAAAAGACAAATCTAAAGAAACAGAAACAAGTGGTTATCTAGGACTAGAGGTAGGTGTGGCAGGTGTGCAAATGGTCAAGAGAAAAATTTGTGAGAAATGGAAATGTTCTAAAAGTGAACTGTGGTAATAGTTGCATAATTCTCTAAATTGGGAAAACTGTCCCCTAATTACTTCTGCAACTTCATGTCCCAGTGCTTCCTTCATGCACCCTAAATTCCACTGGATGTGTCCCAAAGGAACCCAGAAAAAAACCCTCACATATATAGTCATGATTTTTGACAAAGGTGCCAGGACCATTCAGTGGGGGAAAGGACAGTCTTTTCAGACAATGGTGTTGGGAAAATTGGATATCCACATACAAAAGAATGAAATTTGATACTTACCTAACACCATATACAGAAATTAACTCAAAAGGATCAAGGACCTAAAACAATAAAACTCTTAAAAGAAAACATGTAATAAAAGCTTCACGATATTGGATTTGGCCATGATTTCTTGGATGTGACACCAAAACCACAGATAACAAAAGAAAAATAGGCAAATTGTTAAATTTTGTGCATCAAAAGACACTACCCACAGAGTAAAAATACAACCCCCAGAATGGGAGAAAATATTTTCAAATCATACATCTGATAACAGATTAATATCCAAAATATATAGAGAACTCCTAAAACTCAACAACAACAAAAAACAACCCAATTCAAAAACGGGTAAGGGAGTTGAATACTTGAATAAACGTTTCTTCAGAGAAGATATATGAATGACCAATGAGCACACGAAAAGATGCTCAACATCACTAATCATTAGGGAAATGCAAATTAAAACTACAATGAGATACCACCTCTTATTGATTAGGATGGCTACTATCAAAAAGAGAAAACAACAAGTATTGGTAAAGGTGCTGAAAAATTGGAACCCTTGTGCACTGTTGGTGGGAATGTAAAATGGTGCAGCTGTTATGGAAAACAGTTTGATGATTAGGCAAAAAATTAAAAAAAGAATTACCATGTGATCCAGCAAGTCTACTTCTGGATATATACCCAAAAGAATTGAAAGCAGGGTCTCAAGGAGATATTTGTATGCCCTTGTTCATAGCAGGATTATTCACTGTAGCTAAAACATGGAAGCAACCCAAGTGCCCATCACCAGATAAATGGATAAGTAAAATGTAATATATACATAAAATGCAATGTTATTCATCCTTAAAAGAGAAATTCTGTAATATGCTACCACATGGACAAACATTGACGACACTATGTCAAGTGAAACAAGCCAATCACAAAGACAAATACTGTATGGTTCTACTTATAAGTGGTACTTAGATAATGTGAATATATTTAATACCAGTGAACCATACACTTAAAAATGGTTAAGATGGTAAATTTTATGTTACGTGTATTTTACTGCAATAAAAAAAAATACCCTGCCAAACAATGACTGTGTGAAGGACAACGGTGACAAAGAGGACACATCTCTTACCTTCATCAAGCAGCCAGCAAACACAAGGAAGCCTTTTGAATGCAAATGCTTGGCCAAGGAGAACCCAAATCCAGAGTCACAGCCTGTGACCAGGACAGCTTTGCTGCCAACCTGTTTTAGAAGGTTAGACCCATGTTAGGAACCAGGGTCCTGAGGGCAGTGACCAGGCCTCCTCTGGGCAGTAACAACTAGTGCTTCCTGAGGGGGCCAGCCCTGGCACTCCCCACTTGGCTCTGGACCTGGAGAAGCATTGTAGTATAGCGGAACAAGCTTGGACTCAGAACAGGAGACTGAGCTCTAACCCAGACTCTGCCACCAACTGATAATGTTGCTTGGGAAGTTATTTCCCCTTTCTGCACCTCAGTTTCCTCATCTGCAATCACCATTATCACCATCATCATCACCACTGTCATCTTCATCATTATTTACCACGTACAAAGCGCTGTGCATGCCTTATTCTTACTTAACACTCACAAAAACTCCATATAATAATTATGACTATTATACCATGCTATGAGTGAGGAAACAGATTTTTTTTTTTTTTTTTTTTTTTTAGCTGAGCCATCCTGCTACCTGTTGGCAGCTCAGCGGCTGCTCAGCTCGGGCTGGACTCGCAGATATTTTTTAAATGCCCAACATGCTTAGTTGCTAGGATTGGAACTGAAACCAGGCCTGAGAGATCCCAGAGTCTAAACTCTTAATCCGTTACTCATCTGATGGGAGATTTGGAGTCGGGGGTGTTAAGCAAGTGGGAAAATGCTCCGAGTGTCCTGGAAGCTCTAAAGCCCTACTCTGAGGGTGGCTCAGGGCTTGGGGGCCCAGAGGGAAGGGCTCTAACCACCTGGCTGCCTGGTTCCCGGGTAGCTAGGCTGCCACTCACCGGGTTCACCGCATCGGCATAAGTGCGATGGCCCATAGGGACGAAGGAGGCAGAGTAAAACAGCAATGTACGCCTGCAAGAGAAAAGGAAGCCATGAGCACAGGCTGTGGTCACACCTAGACCTTGTTCCTGGGGCAGAAGCAACTCGAGTACCCTCAGCCACCAGTGGGCAGCACTGACTGTCTCCCCACCCCAACCCCTGGGGACAACCTGCCAGTTCTACTGAGCAAGAGGTTCTCCTTCCTCTAGGGTTGCTAGGCTGGGAGAAAGTGAACCAGCAGTTGCAGTGACCATTTTTTGCCACTGTGTAGGAGGAACTTCCAAGTGATACAGCTTTGTCAACAAAGCCTTCTGCAAATTCCATGTCTTAACCCTTAGGTTTTATGCTGCTTCCTGATAGCTTTTTAATTAAATTTTTTATTTTGAAATATAGATTCACATGCAATTAAGAAATAACACAGCTGGAGACGTGGGCGCTGGGGGACGTGCAGGCGGAGGAGGCGGCGCAGGCCTGGCCCACGGCCTGAGGAGAGCCGTGCATATGGCGGCACGTTCGTCTTGCTCTCCTCAGCCCCGGACCCAGCCAGGGACCCTAGCTCAGCTGTGGACTCAGCTGTGGCAACAGGTTTGGCGGAGCAGTAGCGGGGGACAGACGGGCTGCTCACCTGGCCGTGGTCACGCTGGTGAGAGCGTGAGGAAGGCCTGTGCCTGCCTTCTGTCCCGGGGTCCTCGCCATTCAGACCAAGGAGGAAGAAGCGGGAAGGATAAAAGATTGCTGGGACAACCAGGAAGCCCCTGCGCTCTCCATGTGTAGCAATGCCAATATCTTTCGAAGGATAAATGCCATGTTGGATAATTCTCTGGATTTCAGCAGAGTCTGCACTACACCCGTAAATCGAGGAATTCATGATCATTTGCCAGACTTCCCGGACTCTGAAGAAACAGTTTCAAGCAAGATGCTTTTCCCCGCCTCTGCGCAAGATTCTCCCCGTGGCCTCCCAGATGCAAATGACTTGTGCCTTGGCCTGCAGTCCCTCAGCCTCTGGGACCGACCCTGGAGCACCCAGGACTCAGATTCCTCAGCCCAGAGCAGCACACACTCGGTACTGAGCATGCTCCAGTCCACTGGGCAGTGTCCTGGGGAAGGCCCCCTTTGAGCTTCCTGCCTCTGGACACCCTGGGACCTGACTTGGACAAGTTCCCAGCACCCTCAGTTAGAGGATCCCGCCCGGACACGCGGCCCATCCTGGACTCCCGTTCGAGCAGTCCCTCTGACTCAGACACCAGTGACTTCAACTCGGGATCCGATCATCTCTCAGATTTTATTTCAAGCCTTCGCATTTTGCCCCCTCTGCCCTTCCTGTCTCTGACGGGGGGTGGTCCCAGAGATTCTTTAAAGATGGGAGTTGGTTCCCGGATGGACCAAGAGCAAGCCGCTCTCGCTGCAGTCACTCCCTCCCCAACCAGTGCATCAAAGAGATGGCCAGGAGCTTCTGTGTGGCCATCCTGGGACCTCCTGGAAGCTCCCAAAGACCCCTTCAGCATAGAGAGAGAGGCCAGGCTGCAGCTGTGAATGAAGCCACCTGTACCTGGAGTGGCAAGCTTCCTCCCCGGAACTACAAGAACCCCATCTACTCCTGTAAGGTGTTCCTAGGAGGTGTTCCTTGGGACATCACGGAAGCTGGATTGGTTAACACCTTCCGTGTCTTTGGCTCTTTGAGTGTAGAGTGGCCTGGTAAGGATGGCAAGCACCCTCAGTGTCCTCCCAAAGGGTATGTGTATCTGGTCTTTGAACTAGAGAAGTCTGTCCGGGCCCTGCTCCAAGCTTGCTCACATGACCCACTGAGCCCAGACGGCCTGAGTGAATATTATTTCAAGATGTCCAGCCGAAGGATGCGTTGCAAGGAGGTACAAGTGATCCCCTGGGTCTTGGCCGACAGCAACTTTATCCGGAGCCCGTCTCAGAGACTGGACCCCAGCAGGACGGTGTTTGTGGGTGCTCTGCACGGGATGTTCAACGCCAAGGCCCTGGCAGCCATTTTGAACAACCTATTTGGTGGAGTGGTGTACGCTGGCATTGACACAGATAAGCACAAGTATCCCATTGGGTCTGGTCTTGTGACTTTCAGTAACCACCGTAGTTACCTGAAAGCAGTCAGTGCTGCTTTTGTGGAGATAAAAACCATCAAGTTTACCAAGAAGGTTCAGATTGACCCCTACCTAGAAGAGTCTCTGTGTCATATCTGCAGTTCTCAGCCTGGTCCTTTCTTCTGTCGAGATCAGGTGTGCTTCAAGTACTTCTGCCGGAGCTGCTGGCACTGGCGGCACAGCACAGAGGGCCTGCGTCACCACAGCCCCCTGATGCGGAACCAGAAGAACCGAGATTCCAGCTAGAGGAGCGCGTCTGACCCGGTGGCCTGTGGCGCCTCAGGCTGGCAGGGCAGCCAGCAGCCTGCACCACCCACCGGCCTGGCGACCGGGGAGCTGGCTTCCCTAGGACAAGGGAAAATCGTAGTCACCTTTGCACTTGCTGAATCTGTCTTTGTTTCTGCACTAATTAATGCACAATGAGTTTTGTCGGGTTTTGTTTTCAGGGGGTGGGCCAGGGCAAGGACCCTCTGGCTCACCCTCCAAGCGACTCTGTAGTTTTCCCAGATTTGGTTCCTCATTTTGCCAATGAAAAAAGCAAAAAAGAACTACGTGTCCAGAAGGTATTGATTGACACAATTCCTACATCTAGGTTTATTTATTGAAAGCGCTTTTTTTACATTCCTTGCAATACCAACCATGATGATGCGCAGGTCTCATTGATTTCATTCTTGCAGTCGCCATACAGTGCCTTTCCATTGATTTAACCCCCACCTGAACGGCATAAACTGAGTGTTCAGCTGGTGTTTTTTACTGTAAACAA